CTCTTCTTCTGTTTCTTTCCTTAGTCTTACGATAATACTAGGCCACTGCCTACGTTACTGATAGTACATGACCTCTGTCGTCTATCGGGAACAGCTATCGTAAGCTTTCTCTAACTCTGCTTCGTGAAGAGTTCTGTTTGGTGTAACGATATTGTTGCAATAAAGATAAAGATTGTAACAGTGGTTTATATTCATTAAAGTAATAAGTAGGAAAGGTACTTAGAATACAGCAAGAAGAACCTATCCTCCTTGGCCGCATCGGCCTCCTTATATAGTATTCTTCCCGCCCATAGTCATGTAACCCAAAGTGGTCGCATGTGCAAAATCAAATCATAGCAAACTAATCATATGACCAAAGTAGTCACATGCTCAAACCTATGATGTCATCGCGAGGTCATGTACAAAAACTCATAAACCAATCATAACGCAATAAACAAGTCATATGACTCGACTGAGTCATATGCGTGAAACCCATGACCTCATAACGAGGTCATGTACAAATCATAAATCATATGCACAAGGCATACCTGCAAGGCACATTCACAAGGCACACGTCCCATGCCCCATATTTGAGCCATGTGCGAAAGCATCACAAATCTCACACATAACAAATCATATGACTCGAATGAGTCATATGTGTGAAACAATAACATACCTGTGACTCATAATCATATGTCATATGAAAAACCTTTGCCTCGCCAAGCTATATTCGTGACACTAGTGGTAAGCTTAACAATAGAGAATCATGACTTTCTTCTTTTATTTTTAGCACCAGGGGGACATCTACACTCACTGCATTTAACTGATGAAGTACTAACCTCTTGGAATGTACCATCATCATTTTCACCAGCTGTCTCATTTGTCTCATGAATACTCTCATCCAGTCCAACTTTGGCCTTTCGTGCATTCTGAGCTCGGAGGCTTTTCTTTTCTCTAACAGCAGTGATTAGTTCATCTTGAGGTTCAGAATACAACCACTGCTTTTATTACTCCAATAGAGTATAAGAGGAATACTTGTGCCAAAGATCAAGACGCTTTTCTGGGTTAAGACCAGTATCTGGTATTGGTGATGAAGAAATCTGACAAAAGGACTCCAGATTGAATCCTTGTTTACAAAGATTAAACTTTATCCATGGTTGATTTGGTAGTCTCTTAGCTTCAACAATACCAGAAGACATAGAACTAAACCAAAAAAACCGAAAACTTTGAATGCTCTTTAGCAACTTCAAATATGCTGACAGTGCCTTTTCTCAATCTCTAAAAACAGTACCTAAAGAATCATCAAAGAGGCGAATGGCTTTAATCTTCTGATTCTTATCTTCTGAGTCAACAAGTGCTGTATACTGCTCAGGAACTCATACTGGACTTCAATTTGCTCTTTGCTTTACAGTTCCAGATCCACGATCAATACTATTACGTGTATGATCTTTGACCTGGAATCCTAAAGTAATTAAACTTATGTTCTGTGTGACAACAAACCAACAAAAATACCATAACATAGTTTTGTTTTTGTTTTGCCCCCCACAGTTGTCAGCCCATAAATGTATATCAGGTTTCTCCTTGTTAATAGATGTTAGAAAGAGATATAGTAGAGATACAACCTGATTTGCTTCTTTGCCTTACTGTGCTTCTGTATGCATAGTATGATGATGTTGCTCAATCCCATCATCAACAATTCCAAGCACATAGAGCTTAAAGGGTGACCAATAGTACCACTCAGAAGACTGCTGTGGTATTTTAGGAATTTCTACTACCTGTTGAAAATCAAATGAATAGCAACTAAGTTGACTATCAGCTTCTCTAGACTGCTTAATATCCTGTTCATCGGCTTTATGACAGGTACAGTATTCATTTAGGTACACCTCTAATGCAGCCGAATTCATCCTTGAAGCTCTACTCTCAATAATATCTCCTTCAGAATCTAAAATATCAGTGCTTTCTTCTTCCTCTCTCAATATGAAATCATGTTGAGATTGGTTCCTCAAAATAGTATACTCATTACAAATATTTTTAGATGGCTTACGAATCTTCATGAACTTAAAAGTATCATGACTTTTTCAATACTTATAGATGTATTGGAAAGCTGCATAACTGGCTTGATCATGAGTATGTTTAGCCTGTAAGACATATCTTTGATATACTACCTAATAAGAAAGATGAGAAGGGAGGAATATGATATGCTCCAATTCCATATACTTAACAGTTCTTCTATCCTCAAGACTTTGCTTAAATGTTCTTGTTGCAATAGACTCACCCTCTTCCTCTTTTACTGCTATAAGGAATTTGTCAACATCAGTTCTAACTAACTCAGGGAGTTTATTGTGAGCTGCTTTCTGACGATTGCCATGAGGCTTTGGTACAGGCATCCTAGTATTTCTGATATGTTTGATGATACTATTAATTGTTTTTCTGTCCATTTTCCAGAAACTGCAAAAGACTCCTCGGCAGACATTACCTATAAAAGGTAAACAGTATCTTACCTCTACTTGCTTACCATTTTTTAACTAAAGTTGTTAGCTTTGATCTATTCTAATACTTTTGTTACTTAAATTTACAACTAACTTGTAACTGTGAAGATAGAAGGTATATAATCAGAATCTTCTTTTGCTTTCATTCAATTTTATCATGATGGTCAAGCCATTTTTTCCATTTATCACTTTCTGCTTTATGTGTGCACTTCTCAGAACAGGTACAAGAGGCTAAAAATCTTGTAAGTTGTAGTTGAGAATCTGAAAACTCACTATTACTCCCTAAATAAGAAGTTAATTCCTGTATTCCTAGTGATTAGCAAAATACATTGTATAGCATACTTATAAAGAGTGAATCCTGACTACAAGTATTGGAGTTTGAGGAATATCCTGCAAAGCTTTCTTCAGATAATTCACCAAAGGTTATATCAGTGTTATCATTGTAAAAAGAAGAGTGAGTTTGCAATTCATTAAGAGTAAAGTTTGAATTTGAGGAAGTTATAATTTAAGAATTTAAGAAATGATAATAGGAGAAGAATGATGATTCAGTTACTGGACTTACAAAGACTATTTAAGCTATCAAATCTATCACGAACCAATAGTATACTAGCATCTACGATCTCATAACTATCATATTACTATTATACTAAAGATTTACTTCACCAATTATCACTCAACCCATTTTACTGATAAGATGTGTTGCACCAGATACTATTAATCTGGATTTAAGAATTCTGGTGCCAGAGTGAGAATTTTCCAAAAATCACAAAATCTATTATAACAGTTAATTCTAATAGTACAACTGCCTTATAAATATATTTCAAGTAGATTAAGAGATGAACTATTCAACTATGTATTAAAAAGAAAAACAGATAATTCAAGATTTTAAATTTAAAAGTTAGCAAAGGGTTCAATTTTCATGACAAATATATTTTGAGGCCTTCAGATCATACTCTATAAGGTCAAGAAGTATCATATGCATCAAGGCTAATTTGTTACATTGGGAGAGCAGACCAATTTTCACATATCAGCACCCATATGCTAATAAAAAAATTCGGTACTGAAAAAGTATAAAAATGTTCAGTATTTTTACAAGTGTAAATAAATTAAAAAATCATAGTCTTAAAATGTAGCTTAGGGCAAATCCTATAACTCAAATATATCTTTAACAAAAGAAAGTTTATATAATAGTTATTACAATTAAAAATACCATCTAGCAAACTACCTCCCATTGTGCCTCTATTTCTATATTCTTTTAACAGCTTTTTAGTAGCTCATTTGTTATCATTATTCCTCTTGTTAGAACTGCAAGTACCTCTATAAAACATTTTTATTTTAAACTATGAAATTATACATCAGATCTCATAATTTTAAACCTTGCCCAACAATAAAAATATTGAATAAAAATTTGTCAATAGGATAAAAACATATCATTATTTATTGTCTTCTACCAAATACCCTTCTACTTAAAAACATTAGTGTGCCCAAATTTATGCTAAAAAATGTTACTTTTATGCTACAAATATTTCTTTTATGCTACAAATATTGCTTTTATGCTATAAATGTTACTTTTATACTATAAATATTGCTTTTATACTATAAATATTGCTTTTATGTTATAAATGTTACTTTTATAATATAAATATTGCTTTTATGTTATAAATGTTACTTTTATAATATAAATATTGCTTTTATGTTATAAATGTTACTTTTATACTGTAAATATTGCTTCTATGCTATGAATGTTACTTTTAAGCTACAAATGTTGCTTTTATGCTAAAAATATTACTTTTACACTATAAATATTACTTTTATGCTAAAAATATTACTTTTATGCTAAAAATATTACTTTTATGCTAAAAATATTACTTTTATGCTAAAAATATTACTTTTATGCTAAAAATATTACTTTTATGCTAAAAATATTACTTTTATGCTAAAAATATTACTTTTATGCTAAAAATATTACTTTTATGCTAAAAATATTACTTTTATGCTAAAAATATTACTTTTATGCTAAAAATATTACTTTTATGCTAAAAATATTACTTTTATGCTAAAAATATTACTTTTATGCTAAAAATATTACTTTTATGCTAAAAATATTACTTTTATGCTAAAAATATTACTTTTATGCTAAAAATATTACTTTTATGCTAAAAATATTACTTTTATGCTAAAAATATTACTTTTATGCTAAAAATATTACTTTTATGCTAAAAATATTACTTTTATGCTAAAAATATTACTTTTATGCTAAAAATATTACTTTTATGCTAAAAATATTACTTTTATGCTAAAAATATTACTTTTATACTATAAAAGTAACCAGCTAAACAGGTTCTAAACTTACTGTTATCTGCATTTGAGTTCTTGGTCATAAATGAAAAGAACACTGCTGAGCCTTCCTGGTCATATATCCATCTACTTTAAAAATTCCAGCCTAACTCTTCTCAACACATCCTTGCGTTGACTTCTGCCTAGACCTTTTTCTATCATATCACCTTCAAGGTCACATTCCAACCTAGTTGCTTTTAACAACCTCTGATTACTTGCACTAAAATTATTTTAACCATACAGGACCAATTTTCCTTTAATTGTTTGCCCAGCCAGTCAAATTTGTAATTATAGCATCCGCAATTTTCAATTGGTATCCGCATTTGAACTAAAACACTTTTTAATGTCCTCCCTCCACGTTACACTGTAAGAGCAACCACATCCCCCCACACATATGCCATTGAGGATATTTTCCATCCATGAAACAAAAGAAAATCTAGAAAATGATTGCAGGGGGAATTAAAATAGGAACCATTCGATTCCAGGAGAACAGTAAAATTTTTAGCAAAGTAGAACGTATTCAAGTAAAAGAGCAATGTAAAAGAAGCGAAATTGGTAATGGCGGAGTCAAGGGTTACTCTGAGTCAACCCCAGTCTCCATGTTATCGTCGTCGCCGCCGTCGCCGTCCTTGTTGGCAGACGGTTCGGCCGGGATGGGTTCACGCTTTTTACGGCTTTCAACCCTCCATTGATTGTTAACGGGCGAAGTAGAGTCATGCTCACCAGCCTTGCTCAAATGAAGAACAGAGTACTGGGCTCCCTGAGTAGCTCGACGAGCTCTTCCTGGAAAGCGGCGCCCTCTATCTGGCCCCTGGACCATGGCCGGGGATTCGGTACCAACCTTGCGACGTTTTCTCGCGGTAATAGGAGGGGATTCATCATTGTCGTCGACGTCAACAGCGTCAACAGCATCAACAGCCGTGGATTGCTTCGGAACCCTTGTGGTTAGAGAACTGCGAGCGACATTCGGTGCAGACATTCCGCCATTCAACAAGTTTTCCGCAACAGCTACCATCTTATCGTAAAGTTTGCGGTCAAAGTTGACAAATTCAAAGGAAGTCGCAGAAAGTCTGAGAGCTTTAGAATCATCATCGCGATTAAAGAATTCCATGATATCCTTAAGCGTAAAGTTGCGGATCTCGCCGGGGGTTCTAAGACCTTTGTCGAGGAGCATTTTTGAGCCCCAACCAGTGTGTATGAACTTCTCGGCCCATTTCTTCTTCACGACAGGATCGGAATTTTGCCAGATTGACAAAGAAACCATTTTTCTACCGCCAAGCTTGTACTCGCCGTAAAAGGCAAAATGCACCTTATCCACCTTCTTGAAGACAGGATAGCGCGACGCTAAAAGTTCGCCCTCGGAATTGTGGAGGTCGATAAGCTCACATGTGTCGCCAATAGCTTTGGGTGGTTTGAAGTGGAGATCAGGTGTGAATACAATGTAATATTCGTAGGGAAGCACGTTTTCCTTAGTAACCTGAGCTACAATCTTCCCCGGACGGGTGCCAGTAATCGCCTTAATAGCGTCCGCCGTGAATAGGAACGGCTTGTCAGGAAGGTTTTCTGGCAATTTGCGGTCGCGAGCAATAACCTTCGCAGAAGGTGGTGGAATTTTCTTTCCGGAGGAAGATTGGGGTGCACTTGGCATACCTGGGCCAATTGAGGCCAACAAAGGAGCCGTGTTCCTCACCGGGGTCTTGGCTGTCTTTTGGTTAACAGCGACGAACCCACTAGTAGAAGGTATCACCTCAGTGTCCGATTCCGATTCCGATTCCGATTCTTCCGCAATTGGACCAACTACCGCCGGCGACTTAGCTTGAGGTTGAACCCGACTGCCCAGTAGCGCGCCAGCTCTTCTGGCCTTCCCAAAACCACCTCTACCTGGAAATATCTTTGGAGCTTCAACAGACTTGTCGGAAGAGGATTCATCCGAATCCGAGCTTGAATCCCCCCCACTCACCCTAACAGGTGCTCTGCCGCCGCCCCTTCCTCTACCAGACTTGCCTCTGGTAGGCCGCATCTTTTGGACAGGTCGCTTTTTAGACTTGTTGGACTCAGTAGTTGAAAGAACACCTGTGGCTTCGGGGCCTGGCAATTCAGAACTAGGAAGTGGCGCCGGTGGAGCCGGGGCAATGTTCTCGCGATCGCTGTCACCGACATCTGGCATCGCCATCTCAACGTCCTGATCGACAGCCGTATATGGTATATCGAGATCTTAACACTCAATTGTTAGCGCTTAAGGAGAGACTCCGGAGAAAAATAACCTCAAATAAAGAAATAATCTTACCTGGGGACAATGTCGTCTCAAAGGTATCGGCAATAGTACCATTATGCTTTGACTTTTCAACAGTTTGAACCGAACCAGTCTTACCATGAGAAGTGCTAGTAGGTGCCTCAAGGGCTTCTGAGTTAAAACGCCCACCCGCGGACGGGGTAATCTCTGTATGCCCCAAAGCTTTCCGGAGTTCATTAAGCTCCTGAGCTTTCACCTGATCTTCAGTATCGCGCATCAACCGTCTGAGTTCTTCGATCTCGCGATTTTGCGCCAAGGACTTTTCAGTAAAATTGGTCAGAATGGAATTTTGAGTTTCCTGGATATGGTCCAGTTTCTCAGTAATTAACTTAAACATCTCGCGCATGCTAAGCTTAGAGCCTACAACTCCACTATCAGTAACAACCATTGTATTTGGTGTGGAGAAACTTACTTTCCACGGCAGTCGCGCCGCTCCCAGCTCGGCTGAAAACCATTTCTGAGATTGTTCTCCTGTTCAACCAAGTTTAGTTTTAGTAAGTAGGTCTAAAGTCAAGCGCGACTAGTAGGTATTTGAAAGAAAGTTTTGCGCGAGTGAAGGAAAAGAGAGAAGAAAGCAAAAGAGAGGACGGGACAAGAATGCAAGGACCAAGTATGTAATCGGAATAACAAAGCTTAAAAGTTTTGCAAAATGATAAATCGGAAAAATATCGGAGAAAAAAAGACAAATTTGGTATAAAAGCCCACATGCACCAATTGGATAATTTGACTTACAGGAATGAGGAATGAGTAAGGATTTTGTGTGTTGGTGTAAGAGTGTTGTAAAGGGTAGAGTGGTTGTTGAGAATAGGATAGGAAGGAAGGATGAGGAAGGAAGGAATGATGAGGAAGGAAGGAAGGATAAGGAAGGAAGGGTGGGAAAGGAAGGGAAATGGAAGAAGGCAAGGAGTCAGGTGCAGGAGAAAGTGACTCATGTGGCTTGGCATCAAGCCACAAATTTGCCATTGAATTCTGGAAGCTCTGAGAAGTGGCAGTGCAACCTAAAATAAGAGTAGAACCTAAAAATAGATGCATTAAATTCTAGTTCATTATTGTATGATAAATTTTTGAGAAATGAGATTGTAATTGATATTTTTTATGTCAATATTTAACTTATTAAATCCCGTGAATATTTTACATTTTAGTGTCGATACTATAAATACTTGTTGTGTACAATACCTCCTGTACCGTACGTTATCCACCCGGTCAGCGTGCCGTTCTTAATGGCTGGGGTATTCTTGGCGGAAATGAGTAACTAAATACCGGTATCGTACTCGGTTGGCTCCGTGGTGCGCCAACGTGGCGGCGCCATGGCGCGACCTGGCGCGAGTTCAGTATGACTCAACGAAATCTGCGTGTAAGGTATCCGCCAAGACTCGCCAAGTGCGCCCCATTGCCGAGACTTCACCTGGTATGATAAAACAAACGCCACTGCAAATCCCACCAATCAGAGGCCAAACAACCCCAATAATAAATAGTTCGGGGTATCTCGGCATAGCTGAAAATAATATATCTTGATTGGTATTCGCCATTGTATTAACCTATTCGGCTAAGCACATTGTGGCTTAACAGCGTAATTTCCTTTGTTTACAATCTGACAAGCATGACAGTACTATATAGTGATACCTGATAAGAGTTTATATAGTATGCAATTACTTGATATAATCAGTGAAAGCTGGATATAGTGAATTTCATGAGATTATACAGTAGAATTTGTTTGATTTGATTTCAATTTGCCCAGCTTTTCTTGATTTCTATTTACCAGAGACCTTAAATTCCCTTTTTTTTCTTAAAAACTGTATTCAATTTTCTTAAGCAGCAGATATATATTTAAATCACTTCATACTAATTATGTAAACTATACTCCTTTTTCTCCCCCTTTTCTCTTGATAATAATCTTATCTTTTAATCTCCTTCAACTTTCCTAATATCACTCATTCAATGTCTCTTAATTTAGATTTTCTCTACTTTATTACTGAAGATATAAGCTTATTGAGAATTTATTTGGTAACTTAATTCTTATTATTATCAACTTATATTTTTAGAATATATTATATAATAATAATATCAGAAAATTTAATAAAGGATTCAAAAATTCTAACTCTACTTGATAAACCTTTCTATGTAAACTTATTTAATACATAAGAGTTTTGATGGTTATTTAATTATACTAGTATTCCTTTCACTTAAAGGTAACTTCTATTCTGTCAAAATATTTTTTTAGCCTAAATCTTAGAGGTCAGTTGATTTCTTACAAATATGATAATTAATATCAGGTAATGTTTTATAATATGCATAATATCAAATCAAATAACGGTTTATTTTCAATCAAGCAGTTAGCTTGACAATAAACTGGAACCATCCGACCCAACAATTGCTCCATTTCTCAACCTCTTTTGGAGCAAAACATTCCTCCCTTTGGTAAGAACCTTTAATAGGAAGTGGCTCAGTGTGCAGTTAAGTTGTACTTCCTATTCTTATACAAATCTCATGTGGCTTTTAGCGAACTGCAGTTATCGAGCACTGCGGCTGAAACAGATTATTTGACCCTAATTTGACTCGAAGTTATCGGTACTTTACAATAACATATTAAACGAGACATCAGGACGCTATTGTTTACCCACAAATAGGTGTTACCCTAAGATCTTTCTTTTTAATCCTCAATCCTAATTTCTGAGGTATGTCCGAGAACAGTTTCCATTTCAACTACGGATATGCGCATCAGGGTTATTGCGCATTCTATCTGGAGTCCTCCAAGGTTGACCTTATATATATCTCACTCTGATACTAGTACTGCTGTACTGCTGTACCACAACCGAACACCGGTGTAACTTCTGATTCCTACACCTTCTTTGTTTCCGTCTGAACAAAGGAGTTTACCTTCCTTTCATGAATACCGAGCAGAATGAGCACGGCGTAAACCAGCAAGTTGTCGAGTACTTGCCCTTTGTTTCGCACAAATGTTGGTAGTTTACAAATAGCGGGCGTTCTATATTTCATCTCAAAAAACCAATCTCATAATAGGGTAATTCTAGTACCAAAATGTAACAAAGAGTTGTGTCGGGGGACAAAGCCGGTTCAGGTGTTTGTGGGGATAAGATATACACATTCTGCCTGGAATTAGCATTCGACATCACACTTTTTAAACACAATGGTTGAGATATTTGAGTTATAGGTAGTGTGAGAGCATATTTTCCTCCGTTCATGTGTTTATTGTTCGATCCCGGCACGAACCCCGAGCGACCCACGACCCTCGACATAGCAACCGGTATTTTCCACATCCCTGTTAGAATAACGTATCGGACCTTTCATCCCAACCACCTTCCCCTCTATCATCCCGCCAAAAAGAATAAACCCGGCCAACCAGAAAAAAAAAAGTCTACAAACATGCCGCCTCCAACCTCGCTGTCTATCAAGACCTCCTCCGTTCTCCGTCTGATCAAGGAGGAAGCTTCCTATCTTAAGGAGACCATTCAGCAGAAGGCCGTCGTGGAAAAGTTAGAGCAGGACGGTGCGGACGAGTATGAGCTTCGCCAACCGGTTCGGAATTTTTTCCAAATTCTTATTGTTTTACGTCAGATATTTCACATGAGCTTCTGCTTACCTGCCTTTGCCTTGTTGCAATAGAGACAAGTTCTGGAACAGACTATCGTGATGGCACCGGCGGTCCGTAAGCAATTGCTCACTGCTCTTAGTTCGTTGTCGGAAGCATTGGTCTGTCTTTGTTTCGAGTCACGGGTAATAAACGAGAACAATACTGATTAGGTTTCAGGAGGCGGCACCGGAGTCTGAGAGCGAGGAGAACAAAAAGAAGGCAAGGGAGGCTCTTGACAATGGGAAGGAAGTTCTTGAGCAGCATGGCGTACTGGAGTAATTGCTGGAGATGCTGGTAGCTTACGGGTACTTCGGTTTGCGAGATGCAAATTATATTCGGCTGTCATATGAGGATCACCGGTGTTCCTGTATTTCCCACCTAATCCCATAATATCGATATAATAGTCCTGTTTAACTACGGCATATGGCTTCTGGGCTGGAACTAGAGAACTAGGTTCTGTTCGTCTACTCGTCGTGTCGTGACGTTTGTGAAATGGACCAGGCTTGCAAGGGGGTGGACAGGGGTATATATAACCACACAGGGGTCCCAAAAGCGGTTAATTAAGTGTAAACATAACAAGGGTGGTAAATAGTATTTTACACTACTTGATAAAAATTAAAAATTAAAAATATTTCCTCCTTCATCCTCAATACAGTCTCAAATCAATTTAGATATAAAGTCAATATGGTAGTATATGTGTTCCATAAAATAGTTATTCTAAGCCAAGTATTGTAATATTATAAAAAAGTTAATGTAAAGAAGAATTAACAAGTAAATTTTAATTTACCTCTTCAAGTACAAGACGAATCTGTCATGTAGTTATTGAGGTCCCAGTTTTCTCATGTAGGACATCCTTTAACTTAGTCCAAATCATTTCAAAAGGATTTAAGTCCAGAAAATGTGCCGGAAAAAACAAGCTTTGTAAACCCAAACTGTTGGTGAGGGATATTGTAATAGTAGTGAACATGTTTTGGAGCATTGTCCTCCATTATCACAATATCTCTCATGGAAAACTCAGTTATTGCCTAAGCAGTAAGAAGATAGAGGAGAAGATTAAGAATTTACTTGCAGTAAATAAACCAATCAATTCCTCCACACCTAAGAACTTTCCTTGTCTTCAACTGTAGGTCTGGAAATGGATTTCTAGTCCCAATAAACTAGCATTAATATTTGCTGTAAACTCAGATTAATACTCTTTTTTTAAGATAAGAATTACTTCTTTCTATTAGTTGACTATCTCATAATTAAATTTTCACTTCATTCTGGATAGTTGTGATTGCCTAGGTAGTAAATTTATAGTGGTGGTGGAGCTGCAGTTGCTTTGCCAGATGAAAAAATTTGACCTGGTGTTTTAAGAGGATCAACTTCATGCTGAGATGGGATAGTGAAAAAGTATCATATATCTATCACACTAAGTAGGCAGAAAGGACCATGTGCATACAGGTTAGTTGAATGATTACATATTGTGACAACTTCATATGAGATTGAGACATTTTATTCAGAAAGGCAATTCTGGTACCTGCATTTTCATAATTCTGCTTTGTTACTTATTATTGATTTCTGAAGAATCATCAGCATGTCGGTTCTTCATTTTGCTAAAACAGGGTTGAATATTTGGTGCTTGCTCATTCTTCTTACTACACTAGTACTTTAAGCCTCTTCACTATATGAGTTTATGAGACCTCATTTGGTACAATAGTTGTATCTTTTTGTCTATTACCTTCATGCAGGTTTCATATTTGTTAAATATGGAAAATTGGATTGCTGTGGAGAGATCAACTATGTTATTGCTTTAAGCTAGTACAAGTTTCATGATCTCATATTTTCAACAAATATTACTAGCTATATTATTTTCAAAGCTACTGGAGTAATACTTACCCAATTGTTTGATGATATATTCTGCAGCTAGAAATTTGCAACATTACTTTATAAGTGGTTCCTTGAAGTTATGTCCTAGTAACATTTGTAGTAGTTTCCTGTAAAAACCTTTAAGAGTAACTGCTATTATAGAAGAATAAACTTATGCTTTTACTGGTATCAAAAAACCACCATAGTAGTGATTGAAATAGACTAATATACTAAAGTAGAGTGCTGTTAATTAAATGCTATAGCAAGATATAGTCTATCTTAGTGGAAGGTACTTAAGTACTAAAGACCTCCAGAATCCTGGAGAATCATCTTGGGAGATTATAAGTAAGGTTATGAAAATAGTATTTGATACATATGAGTTTTTAGAATTTTTGAATAAATAGTTAGAATTCAAAAAAGCTAAACTTTCTTTATCCCCTGTTCCTTCCTGTCTCCATATTTCCAGCCCTCCACGTACTATCCTCTCCAATA